TTTTTTTTATTAACCTCTCCCCATCCAATAATTAAATTAAATCTCGATTAATTTGATAACAAATTGCATTGAATCTCATTAGTGAGAAATTCCCTCGGCATTTATTTTTTCATTTACAAGACTTGAATTTGAGAATTTATTTAACTATAACTGAATTCCTTTCTTTCGAATCAACAAATTGTTAGGAAGATTGGCTATTCTTGTTTCTTTTGAACTTATACCAATGGATAATATTGAAGACATTTGGTTTTAATTAGTTCAACTTACTAAAAAAAGTTTTTGAAAGATTATGTTATTATTCGTAAAAAAAGCTCAACTTTTGTTTCAAATACCCTTAATTCTAAGAATTGATTTTAAAAAAATTAGAAAAAATATTTAAAAAAAGTGAAAATCATGACGTTAAAATGTCATGATTATTTGTAAAACTATTTAGATATTTTTAAAGACTATTCCTCATTAAAGGTATTTACATATTTTTATTATTGTTTTTAATATTTTAATTTTTTACAATACGAAAAAATTACTAATAGATTCTTTTTTTTTTAAACAAATTCAAAAGGGATCGAATTCGAATCATTGACACGAATTGAGAAAATGCACTTTATACGTGACCTAACGGCACTAGCCCCGAAGGCCAAATGCAATTACTAATAGATTTTTAGTGCAAAAATGAAAATAAAGTCTCATAAAAAAAAAAAAAAAGTATAGCTCTCTTTTTATAGTTTTATGGACCATAAAATAAAGTAGAAAAATGATCAAAGGTCCCGGCATACAGCTGATTCCGCGGTCCGGCCCATATATACTCACTGAGCCCGCCCAAACAGTATGGACATTGGAGTAATTTCATGAGTCCTATTTATAAATACGAAAACCCTAGCGTCGTCTTCATCCTTTCCGCAAACCCTAGAACGGCTCTTCCTCTGCGGCCTTCAACTCGCAGGTCTGTCTGTCTATTCCTCCCTTTGTTAATCTGCATGGTTTCATTTCGAGAAATACCTTCTTCCACCGTAACTGACGTTCTGCCTTTGTTGTGTTCTCTTAGGTAAGGGTTTATCCGCGAAGCAAGCTAATGGCTCCAAAAGGTATGGATTCGATTGTCTTACTGTTCCCTTTGTGTAATACGAATTTGTAGTTGATCCCTTTATACTGTAATGGATGCAGCTGAAGTTCTCTTTTGCTTTGTTAAGGATACTGCTGTCCCTGTAGTTATTCAATATTGCAGAACTGGAAATGGGTTTTGAGAATAGATTCTATTTCCTGTTTCATTTGTAGTTATTAAGCTATTTTTTGTTTATTTTTGTTCGGTTTGAGATCTGGGTTTTTTTTTTTTTTTTTTAAGATGTAATCTGAATCTGGGTTTATTTGACTGTGTTTTGGGGCTGAGAATTGATATAAAGGTATAAAATCAAGAAACTACTGCTCCTGTCCTAGTTGAAGATGCATTGGTAGATAGTATGTATTCTTGTTTTGATGCTAAAGTTAATTTGAATTTTTTATTTTAACCTCATAGTCTGTAATGAGATTGTCTGAATATATGGTCTATTTCCTGGGCATTTTAAGAGAGTTACCTATCTGTTAACTGGGATGTTAATGGTGCTTAGTTGATTTTTTGGGGTTGAGGGGTGGAACAAGTAATAATCTTCTAATTGTGTTTGTTTCGTGTGGCTTGTCGAAGTGATGTTTTATTTTCTATTCTTGTGATTACACAACCTAAAAATTTGATTGAACAACTGGTGTGCAATATGCAGTTGAGAAGAAGGCTGATCCAAAGGCTCAGGCCTTGAAGACTGCTAAAGCAGTGAAGTCAGGACCAACCTTCAAGAAGAAGGCCAAGAAGATCCGAACTAAGGTTACATTTCATCGCCCCAAGACATTGAAGAAGGATAGGAACCCCAAGTATCCACGTATCAGTGCTCCACCAAGGAACAAGCTTGATCAGTATCAGATCCTCAAATTTCCCCTCACCACAGAGTCAGCAATGAAGAAGATCGAAGATAACAATACTTTGGTCTTCATTGTGGACATTCGTGCTGATAAGAAGAAGATAAAGGATGCCGTGAAGAAGATGTATGATATTCAAGCCAAGAAGGTCAACACCTTGATCAGGTAAATGCTTTTTGCTGGATTACTGTTGTTTTCCAAAGATGATTGTATTGTCTTTTGTAATATGAGATAGTAGGTGAATATTTTCAAAAGCATTAGTTCATTAGTCAATAAACATTTGCATGGTATTGGTTCATAATAATAGGCCTGGTTTCTCTCTTATGATGTCCTATCATTAGCCCCTTCCATGCACTCTTGAGATGCACACTTTTTTTAGTTCAAAAATATTGACATTAGTTGTTAAGATGCTCTTTCTGTTTTACTGTTGGTTGATGTGCAAGATATTATTCTTACTGTATGCTTCATCTTATGGTCCAGGCCTGATGGCACGAAGAAGGCTTATGTGAGGTTGACTCCAGATTATGATGCCTTGGACGTGGCTAACAAAATTGGAATCATCTAAGCTAGCTTGTGGCATCCTGTTTTGAGCACATCCATTTATTTTGTTAAGAGACAACTCTGTTTAGATTTTAAGCAGGGAGGCTTTTCATATCTAGTTTTGGAAGTTGTAATCTTGTTTCAACTGCTAGTTAATAGTCTGGTTTATCATTATTTTAAGGGAATTCAAAGTTTTGATTTAGTGCTTTTGAATGTTCTGTATGCGATGACATATTACTTGTTGGGTAAAATGATCCATTTGGGAGCACTTCGAAACTTCAATTAGCTATCACTAGTGCTTCTTGAGTGATTTCCAATTTTGGTTCGATAATGTTTTGAGTTTTGTAAATTGATGAGTTTTCCTGCTAATTGATCTTTCGATTTGGAAATTGGATAACGATCAATTAGGCCAAGATGCTAAAGCATGTGCAAAACTAAGTGGGGAATGGTGACCTTTTGAACTGAGGTCTATGCTTGGCTGATTTCAGTGTGAATACATGGCTTTAACACACAGCATTGGATAGGTGTTGAAGTTCTATTAACCCTGTTAATCTGTATTCGTAATTCGTTTTTGGAACCTCCATAAATTAAAACAAACTGGCGAAAGTGGGCTTCCATCATTCTTCAAGGTCACTCCTAGAATCTCCATATTCTTGTGAATATACATTTTAAGCAGTTTTTAAACAAAGATAATTATACGTAAAAAGTCTTTTAACGCTTCAAGCAATAACATAGGCACCAGTGGTCTAGTGGTAGAATAGTACCCTGCCACGGTACAGACCCGGGTTCGATTCCCGGCTGGTGCAGATCTTTTTTGATTTCTTTTCTTTGTGCCTTCTACCTCAGCTCTTGCGGTAGGCAATCCAGCACAAGCTCTTTTTCCAGGAAAGAACTCGAAACTCCTGAAGAAAATGTCCAAAATAATGGAGGGTAATTTTGTTGAGTATAACTTGATAAAAGCACAGGAAACACAGTGCATATTTCTCAGAAGCCTCCGCAAAAGATGATCCCGAATTCCCATTCTATATTTGCAAGAAATTGTGAATTTCTTTCTTCGTAATTCCAAGGGCCCAAATATGGGAAAACTTTTGCAGTACAATCTGATGAACTTTTTCTGTACTCAAATTATATGGAACGTGCGCAATTGTCCACGCAATCCATGCCCTGTATTCTGCAGCACCGCAGCGCATGCGCCTCTCTTTCCTGAGAAAACTCTTCCCTCCTCAGTGTCTCCCTCAGTATGTTTACACTCACAGATAGATCATTGACTCGTGATCTACAAAGAGGGCAATTCGAGTGCGATTGAAACCACGAATCAATACTAGCTGCGTGAAACTCATGACTGCAATTGGGTAGATGTTTTATCCATTCCCCTTCTTCGAATTCCCCCAAGCATATAGTGCAATCGGTGTTGCCACGGCGACCTTCTTCTGCATCTTCAGGTTTAAACAGAGAAATGGGTAGACGCTGTATAACAGAGTAATCCAGTCCCCGGGTGTGGATTTGTAGAGAAGGGTCATCGGAGTTGGCCTCGTCCAGCCGTCTCCGTTGACTACTGTTTCTGGAGAAGCTTGAATCGTTGTTGGGGCACAACAGTCGGATTAGTACCTGGTAATAGCTAGGTAAGAGGAAGGCGCCACAGATGACAATCACCAGAGAAACCAGATAGGGTCTCAGTAATATGTTGCATAGAGTCCCGTTTTCATGTTTACAATAAGCTAGAGTCGTTGGATTTGTATCTGCCAACGTCGGCCCCTGATGTGGAGCTGAGGCGGGGGAAGGGACAAGGCAAGGAATTGAACGCATTCTAAGCAAAGCAGAAAAAGGCTTCGAACGAAAAGAATTAAGTTGATTTATGGGGAGATTCCAGGGACGGTTAAATCAAAGCAAAATCAGATGCAGACATTTCGTCAATGATGATATTTAGAATAGTTGCTTTAATTTCTAGAACATGTTAAACTTGTATGCTTTTGTTCTCAAGCTAAGATGATATCAATGACTACTTCGGATTTTCTAAGAACAAAACTAGAAAGAAAGGAAAATTAAGAAGGAAAATACAAGAAGAAAACAAAGTTAATATACTGGATAACTATATCATTCAAACCCTCCAAAAAACAGTATCCCATTTACATCAGCAATCCTTAGAGTTTGTTTTATAAAAGAAAAGAAAAGCAAACTCGCATTCTACTTATTGAATTTTTTGGCGCTTTACAGCAGGGATTTGAGTGCTAACAGCAGCACCTGCAGTTAATCTTGAGGTACTTAGTCCACCGGTAGGAACAGAACTTGAAAAGTTCAACATGGATGTTGAGCACAGATGGGGATGAGCTCGGGAAATCTGAAGGTACGGTGAATTCAGTGGTTTTTGAGGAATGGTAATTGAGTTTGGAGCTGGTTTTTGATCATGGTTAACATTTGCGGCATCAAAAGCTTTGATGGAAACAGGTGGGAGTTTGAAAGGTTGTAGAGGAGGAGGGTTTCTCCACCGGGGAAGGGGTCCAGCAACAAGAAGAGTCTGAAGAAGAGGACCTGCTTCTATGACAGCCTGCAAAAACTTTCCCTTCTCTGGCAAAGTTTTCCCCTTTGCAATAGCATCAATTACAGCAAGAGCAGGATCATTCTTGGTTACTCCTGCAGAGACAAACCCTGACGACATAGAGGTTTTATAGCCTTGAACAAGAGGCTGATTCACATGCCCCACGTTGCTTGAATCAGTTATGTTGATGCTTGAGAATTCTGGCGAAGTTACACCTTCAAAGAAGGAATTAACAGGGGAAGAGCCATGTGATGGGTGATTATAGGTATCAGATAGACTGTTCATGCTGTTGGATTCAGTTATGCTTGAGTTTGCCTTGGCGTGGATCAAGAGGGGACTTCCCGGTTGGGGATGAGGAAGAACATGATGCAATTCAGTAGGACTGGAAGCCATGAACTTATTGAGCAGCTTTTGCAATTGATCTCTTGCTTCATCTCTTTCCTTGTAAGCAATCCTCAGAACATTGAGCAAATACTTTATGTCTTCCCTGTGCTTCCTCAGTTGCTCATTTGCATTCATTTTCATTGCCTCCAACTCAATTGTTGCATATTGAAGCTTAACTTTCAGTTCATCAATACTCTGTCAGAAACAAAACAGGTTCTGTTAGTTTGTGGAAACACTAAAACATATTTCATAAAAGGAAAACCAGACAACAGAGAACATACTAGAAAAAGGGATCAAAACTCAAAAACACTGTTAAAAGTCAGGGGAAACAGAATAATTTACAACATTGGAAAATAGGGATCCCAAGAACTTTTAGTCAAAAAATGACTCCTTTTGAGAAAAAAACCAGAATCCCATTAACCTCACCAATTCAAATCCCTACTTTCTTATGATAAAATGTAGATTGGTCCAAATTGCTCGGTGCCATGAAATATCTCATCACAAGTTTCCATCAATACCGACATGTACTAACACAAACTTTAAGCCTGTATGTCTGTATCAGAACAGAACAGCAGCCAATTTATGGCAAAACAGAAGTACAAAAAACAGTACTTATACAGTAAATCTTGGGTTTTTTCTCTATCCCAACAAACAGGGAGAAGAAAAACAAGAGGGATCACAATAACATAAATAAATAATTAGCCTTCAAAAACTATTGGATTTCCAGAAAAAAACTGAATTAGGAAAGAGAAGCACAGATACCGTAATGGAGTAGATAAACAACATAAACTGGAGAACTGAATTGAACTGAAAAGAAAAGCCTAAAAAATGGAACAAAGGAAACCAAACAAATAAACAGTCCAAGTTTTACACTATGGAGAGAAACAGAAACAGCAGAGAAAGACCCACCTCGTGATACCACATGGAACCTAACTCCTCCATTTTTAAGGGTCACAGAGAGAGCAGAGAAGGGAAGAAAAAAACCCAGAAGAGCCAAAAGAGGGGGAGTTAGCAAAAGCCGTACAGTGACTCATTTATAGACCAAACAGGGCAGAAAATGACAAAAGCAAAGCGGTGGCTCTCTCTTACACGCATTTTCACAAACACCTTCGAAAAGTTCCAGATAACCCAATCAATATCAAAGGAAAGGAAAAAACTTTAGGAAATTCCCAACACCTTCCAATTGGAAATTATAAACCCATTGCAGATTCCCCTCTCTCTCTCTCTCTCCCCCAAGAAAATCCTTAAAATTTTCCCACTCTTTCAGGACTCCTGTCTATTACTTCAAATAAATTTCCTTTTCTTCCCCTCTCTCTTACATACATTCATACGCAATTGCTGAATCCATTGATTTTTCTTCTCTTGGACTTTGCTTGAACATCATGTTTTTTTTATATATGGGAACTTAAAACGATTGTTTTTCCTCTAAATGAGATTTCTGTTTTTTTTGTTCCCTTTTTTAACAACGTCCAAAGGTGGGTTCCCGAGACTGCCCTCCGCCGGCTTAGATGGGTCAATAGATTAGGGGAGACGGTGGGGAGAGAGGTTTTTAAGCATACAACGGCAGTCTATCATTGTTGATGCTTTGTCATCATTTTATAGGGTGGTGATGGGATAAGAAGATGATCTAGACCGCCATTAGTCATGCAAATTATATATTGACTATGCTAGTAGTTTCCAATTTTTAAGCAGTGCAATGGAATCTTTTCAATTTAATGTTTTTAATTGCTACAGAAGCTTTCAATTTACACTTCATTTTCAATAACAATTTCCTTTCATTCTATAAAAATAATATATATATATATATATTAGGTTAAAATACTAATTTGGTTACTCAACTTTTAAATTTGTACGAAAATTGTTCTTCAACTTCGGAAATATATCAAAAGTCTCCTTAAACTTTAATTTTTCAATACCAAAATAGTGATTCCATTAATAGAAATGTCACTTAACTTATTATCTTATCACAAAATTAATTTTTTTTAAATATTAATAATGTGTAAAATTAAACAGTTATATTTTGTTATCATAACATGTTTTTATTTACACGTCAAATTAATATGTAATTAAAATTAAAACTTGAAAGACCAAGTCAGCATTTGTAATTAAAGTTTAACAACTAAGTTGGTACTTATTTTCAAAATTCAAGAATTATTTTAGTATGAAAAATCAATTTTGGTACTTTTTGAAGTTGAAAAATAATTTTGGTATTTTTTGAAGTTAGAGGAAAATTTTGATATAAATTTAAAAGTTGAGAGACCCAATTAATATTTTAATATTTTTTTAGAGGATTATGTAAAATCAAGGTCTCCTCCAATTAAAATATCAGTATTTTTTTATAAAATTATTTAAATACTCTTAATAAATTAATATATAAAAAGATTTATTAAAGATATTTAAATAATATCATAAAGGATCTTAATATTTAAAATATTAAAATATCTTAATTTTTATTTTTCACAATTGATAATTTAAATTGTGCCAAATTACAAGATGCAAACTACTAAATATATCAAAGGAATGCTATTTTACTAGACTACAAAACACCAAATTTTAAAATAAGAACCTCGAGCTAGATATTAGAGTATTACTCCCAGAGTATACTAAAGCATTTGGCAAAGTGGATCTAATAATTAATATCAACATTGTAAAATAAGTTCACTTTTTTGCAATTTGGCATGTATTAGACAACAAAAATATAATTATTGATTGAGAGAGGATGGCTTTACATTAAGAGAGTCTCAATTATTAAGGGTTAAAATTGTATAATCCCACAACACTTTTCTGTTGTAATATATTCTTGATTAAATATTCTTGTAGATATGTAGTAGATTGCACTTTGAAGTTTGAACTGCCCAAGAAAACTGAACTCAACCATATAATGGTGGACCAACTAAAATCTCTTTGTCCTCAATTATACTTTCATCTCAAGGCATTGTAGACTTGAGCCACAGTAGCCTTGTAGGCTTTGCATCTTCCCTGCTCCCCATCAGCTTGTTAAGTCTTTGTCAAATGTCAACAGTGTGAATTATTAAGCTAAGAATGATATAAAATTTGTGTATATAATTATCCTTAGTAATTAATAATAATGCTATCACATCTACATTTCCCCTATATAAGGCACAAATCCTTGTTAAGGAAACTAGTGTTGGATCCTCCCATTAATCCTAGCTAAAATCATGGAGTTGATAATATGTAATTATATATATTGCTTTTTTTGAGTCTTTTGACTTCATATTATTTTTGATTTGGTTTAAGAACAAATTTACCCCTATTTTATTATCT